TTTTTTATTGGGATTTTATCGTAACTTTTCAAAAAAAAAAAAGAATAACAAAAAATTGAAAATAAAAAAAATTATAAATTTACGATATTAATATGGCCGTTTACAATAATTAGTAAGTAAATGATAATAATTTTTATAAATAAATTCCTAGGAAACTGGAAAAGTCTATTATTTATCTAAAATAATCAAATCTGCGTTCCCTTCTCCGCCTCCACACCTCGCATTTGCAATGAGCCTCTCACTCCTCACACTCGATCCCTTGACTGGTTCCACCTCTCTCAGGGCCAGCGAAATACAACGCAGGCCTCCTATTCCTCGCCGGGGCATTGTCCTTTGCTCTGCGAAGCCCCTGGTGTCTGCTCCTAGCGCGGCTGATTCTTCTTCCATTGTTGATGGGCTGAGTCGAATCGGGTCCCTCAGTCAGGTATCCGGTGTTTTGGGTAGCCAGTGGGGCGATGAGGGTAAAGGTAAGCTCGTGGATATCCTTGCCAACCACTTCGATATCGTTGCTCGTTGTCAGGTAATGAACACATTTTGCTGCGCTGTTGTTTTTTTCCCTTTCAAGAAAGATATTTGGTTGGATGAAACTTGAGTGGTTATTCCCAAAATTTATTTGAGGTGGATTCTGCTCAAGTCTTAGATGCTAGCTGAAGGGAGACTGGGTTCCGCCCCAATCCTTAGAAAGTCTTGACTTTTAGTAAATGACTCTGTTTGTATGATGGCTTTAACCAGGACCGTAGAGTCATTCTCAACCTCTAGCTTTTTCTTAATCCATTGCTTGTAACAGAGCAGCGGTTCGTTAGAGCAATGCCACAACTCTGCCGTAATCACCTTGCATGAATCGATATTGTACAGAAGCCGCTCTTCCGCTTACCATCACTATTTCTGATTTTCTGATTAAACCACCACATTCAGATTGTTATCCTGACAGTTGACTTTCCAAGTTCAATTTGCCCAATCCTTCTTTCAGGATAGTCCACTAAGCTCTGCGTGCTGGGCCATTATCTCTCAAGATTCATCTCTTCCTCTATTCTGCTCTTTTCCGCAATGAAACTTTTAGTTTTTAGAACTGTCCTGTAAGGCAGCCGGAAGGTATCATCGAATATTGCCTTAGACAACTCTTTGAGTTACCATCCAATTATGCTCGTTGTTTTAGAATGACCAATCTAACACGATAGACTAGAAAAGCAAGGTTTTAGAAGAGTGAAAAAATAAAACAAAAGATGAGATCTCACACAATTGGAGCAAACAGTCAAATTATTTAATTAACCTCAAATCTCTCTCAACTAACTTGTTGTGTGCCGCATTGTAGCAATTTAATCTATGACCATGCGACATTGTATGGAAAAATTTCTTGTTTTGCCTGTCCTCTTCAACCATCATTTAGGCACCAATAATCTTCCTAATCATCGTTAAGAGGTAAATAATTATAATTCTAAGAAGAAAATCCCTGCATGTCAGTTTTAAACTTCAAGTTTAGGTGCCAATCTACCCTTTATTATGGATTGATTCCTTTAAGTTTGGGGTTTGGATATGTTGTTTAACTTGCAAGTCATATTCCCCATAATGTTTCTGATTATTTGCATTAATTACTCCAATTACCCTTCAACCTATGTTGTGAAGACCTGACCACCCTCATTATTTTTATCATCAAGAGACCTTAAATTAGTAGGACGTAGGACAGTTAACATATTGATTGATTAACCTTCTTGTTAAGTGGTGGGGTATTCTTGCTAACTTCTTTTAGCCACTTTCATACCCTCTTGTTTATTATGCTTTTTTGTAGAATTAAATTGCAAGTTATATTCCCTTGATGATATGTGATCATTAATTCATTGTACATCATCAGGGTGGAGCCAACGCTGGGCATACCATTTATAATGCTGAAGGAAAAAAATTTGGTCTTCATCTTGTTCCTTCTGGTATACTTAATGAGGATACATTGTGTGTTATTGGGAATGGGGTTGTAGTGCACCTCCCACAGTTTTTTAAAGAAATTGATGGCTTAGAATCCAATGGGGTCTCCTGCAAGGGAAGGGAAGAATACTGATATCTGATCGTGCTCACTTGTTGTTTGATTTTCACCAAGTAATTGATGGACTAAGAGAGGCTGAGCTCGCTAAATCTTTTATTGGAACTACCAAGAGAGGCATTGGACCCTGTTATTCTAGCAAGGTTATCCGTAATGGCATTAGAGTAAGTGATTTGAAGTATATGGATACTTTTCCTCAGAAGCTTGATCTTTTGTTATCAGATGCGGCATTAAGGTTCAAAGATTTTAACTATAACCCGGACGTTCTCAGGGAAGAAGTTGAAAGGTACAAGAGATATGCTGAGAGATTGGAACCCTTCATTGCCGATACTGTACATTTCATGAATGAAGCTATAGGACAAAAGAAGAAGATTCTTGTTGAAGGGGGTCAGGCAACAATGTTGGACATAGATTTTGGAACTTATCCCTTTGTAACTTCATCCAGTCCATCAGCAGGCGGGATTTGTACTGGTCTAGGCATTGCTCCAAGAGTTATTGGTGATCTGATTGGTGTGGTACGTGATTATTTGGATTATTTTGTTTCATTGTAGTTGTCGATGATCTAATCTGACTTTATATTAATTAATAATTCAATCAATGAGAAACATATGCATATCCATTCTGTTTTTGCTGCTTATTTCCAAAGCTTCTTTTACCTGAAGAATTTTCTGGTGTTTTCTGTTTTATATATCCAGTTTTAAGAACTCTTAACAAGACCCGGCCAAATAGTATTATCAAAGTGCACGTACAGAGCTTTATTAGGATGGAGACAATATTTTCTTAATATTATTTTACTTTGCAGGTCAAATCGTACACTACAAGGGTTGGTTCTGGTCCTTTTCCCACTGAAATCTTGGGTCAGGAGGGTGATCTCCTTAGATTTGCTGGGCAGGAGTTTGGCACAACTACTGGTCGTCCTAGACGCTGTGGTTGGCTTGATGTAGTTGCATTACGATATTGCTGTCAGATCAATGGGTTTTCATCACTCAATCTCACCAAACTGGATGTTTTGTCAGATTTTGCTGAAATTAAATTGGGTGTGTCTTATAAACACGTTGATGGTACACAGATCAAGTCATTCCCTTCAGATCTCCGTCTTCTAGACCAATTGAAGGTAAACTTTCATTAACGTCAATGAAATCAGTTGCATGAGAATTCTGTGATGTCAAAGTAATTTTTATATGAATTTTGTATGTTGCAGGTGGAGTATGAGGTACTTCCAGGGTGGAAGTGTGATGTTTCTTCCACCAGAAACTATGCTGAACTTCCAAGAGCTGCACGCCAGTATGTGGAAAGAATAGAAGAACTTCTTGGCGTGCCAATTCACTACATTGGTGTTGGACCCGGGCGTGATGCTCTGATTTATAAATAAGTTGGTCATAATTTCTCGCCAATTTCCTATATGACTTCCATGTGCCTATAGCCACAAGAACAAGACAAAGCTTTTGGCAGTAGACTTGCAACTATTTATTTCAGCTAACTGTGGAAGATTTGGACGAGAACTAGCATGAAGTAATGATCATCTGCTTCATGTATTTATTATGTTGTCCATCAGCAATAACACTTGGACTTGTATGTTAGAACTTTCTGGTTTGGGTAGCAATTGTATGTTGTGGATGGAGTATAAGTACCTTCAGTGATATTTTTTCCACCAGAAACTAGTGCTTCGAGCTTCAAAGAGCTGCACGCCATTTTGTGGAAAGGATTGAAGAACTTGCTGCTGTACCCATTCATTACATTGATGTTGGGCCTTTATGTGGTGCCTTCATTTTTAAATAAGTTGAAAGCACTTTCTACCCAAATTTCCATGTTCCTATAGCCAAGGGCAAAAGGAAGGCTTCTGGTTGTAACATTTCAATTATTTTTGACATCCACATAATTCTGAAGTGTGGAATATTTTTGTTTCTCTGAATTCTTGAGTGTAACGTCATTTAAATACTAACAAACTGCATTCCATCTCAAGACTTAAATATCTGTTAATTACTAAATAGTACTTTTCGTCTTTTGTGTGTGTGTGTGTGAACATAATTTTTAGGGGACAGACACAGAGAGAGAGAGCGGGGGGGGAGGGGGAGAGAGAACCTATAAAGACAAAGCTCTAATTGTGGAGCAATTTGTTGGCGCAGCCTTGTTTGATGTTTCTATCGTGCGTCCCTGACATTCTGAGCTTCCCAGGCACTAGGAAGAGACGATTGTGTCTCGCTGGAACAATTCGTCTCAATTAAAGGTAACTCTGATTAATTCATTCATGTTCTGTTATTTAAGTATTTACAGCTTAAGTAATCAGGTGAATAAGAGATAGTGACTTTCAGAGGCTTCTATGTTGTCTATATACAATGCGTATCATCATCTGGCATACCTTGAACGAAACTAATAAATGTCTCAATGCGTTGCAGTTGGACGCTACTTTCCTCGCACCTCTCAAAGGACGCTAGAAAGTTAAGAACTGTTCCCTGCTTTCATGATAGATATATTGATTGATTTAATGATATTTAAGCACTAGCTATTAATGTGCATAATCTTTGGGGAGAAAGGCCTTATTAGCAGGACTATAGCGATCTCTTTTAATCATTGCTTCATATGATTATGCTACTGGAGTTTTTCTTGTCTACACCTTTTAGCTAACAATCAGGCTTTTATCACTAACCATTTGATGAAATGATGGACATGTGCCAAAAGTCATGTAAGTTTGACTGAAAGTCTCCTCAAAAGTGGAGGTAAACAAATTTTAGAACTGCAATTTTTTTTTTTCAGTCACAAAAATAACATAATAAAAAGACAAATTACGGTAGCATTAGCATAATGATAAACCTGTCTCTCCATTTTCTGTTACTATCACTACTAAAGAAGCTCCTTTCTCCTTCTAGCAGAGTTTTATACTAAACTACCACCATCTACTACGTGCAAACGACTTGTTAGGGTAATATTTATGTCAAAAAGAGTTAGAAATGAACTATTGTCTCGGAAGATTAGTGTTCAGCCCTCAAAATATGCCCATCAAGACATGAAGTTTCAAACAACAACACTTATGTTACCATATTCATTCCTATCTTGTACTGTATCCACATCAATCTCCATGCTTCCCATCTTCTAACCTACCGGAGGTCTGTGAATGAATAGTGGTAGTAGAACCAGAAACATCTCATTTATTGATTAGCTCGACTACTGAATACTTACTGCTGATATTTCACTATATTTCAACTCCTCTAGAAGCTAGAAAAAGTAGTTCTATTTCTTGAAAAAGAAAAAAGACTAGCTGATTCTCTTAGAAGTTCCAAATCGAAGTGGTGAAAGCAAGCTCTTCATTTATGTCATACGCTTGAAATTGGGTTGCCTCTGATCCTTGATTATCTGCAACTGCATGCATCTCCATTAATTCCTCCCAATTGACACTCTTGTCAGAACATTCACCAAAATTATCAGTGAAATCATTTGATAAAACTTCAGACTTTGTGGAACTTCCCGACTGTTTTTCATCCTTCAGCACTCCCATCTGTTGAAGAAACTCATGGAGGTCAATCTGGGGTTTGTCCTGAATATCACTAAACACACTTTCTGACGATGTTTTAGCTTCTTTCTCGTTTGGAGGATTGTCTGCATTATGCTTGCTTCCTATAATCTGAACTTCAGCCTTTGGATCACAGGATGAACTAGAGGGAGTGTGACTTGGAACTCCATTCTGCTTGAGTTGTTGTAGCTTTTGGTGGATTACATGAACACTAGGTTGAGCATTAACGTTGAGCAATCCACGAGAAGGGAACATTGAAATGAAATTCTTGGAAGGAAACCATTTAAACTTTTGAGATTTAATGGCGGAGCTGGAGGTGGGTTGAAGGTGGGGAAGATTAAGGTAAGCATCTGGACCATAGAGTCTCCTCGCAGCTTCATCATAAGCCATGGCAGCTTCTTCAGCTGTGGCAAAAGAACCAAGCCAGAGCCTAGTTCTCTTCTTTGGCTCTCTGATCTCAGCAACCCATTTTCCCCACGTTCTCTGACGAACACCTCGATACTCGCACATAGCATTCTGAGGGCCACCTTTCCCCCTGCTTGGTCCTTTCTTCCATGGCTTTAAGGGAGACTTTCTGCAAGAATCCATGGCTGATTTTGACTAGAGCTCGATAAGGATAGGTTATAAGGTATCTGTTAGAACTGACTGAGGAGAGCGAGAAAGGCGCGGGATTTGTAGGGAGCGGGAGAGGAGTTCATTATAAATGTTGTCACGTTTAGAGAAGTAACAAAGCTCATGTGACCGTTAGTGAGGCTTGAGTCAGAATTTTCAAATCTTGAATTATTAATAAATAATGGGGTTCATTTTGGTCTGAAACTTCATGCTTGCAGCACGTGCTTGATGATATGTATAGTCTGATCATTTCCTTAAGTTACAAGTCAACAGTATCGTCGTTAGATAGCACACATTCTCAGTTGAGAAGTGAAACTCCCCCAAGTATGCTTTTTCTCAACGATATGCCTAAAGCTTGAACCTAACGAATTATGACTTCGTTAAAAAGAATGATCAAAACTATGAAATTAATGGGAACAATATAGAAAGAAAATATTAAACAAGAGAGGCAAACTTGATCAAGACTTTATATTTGGGGCCACATTATATTTATCAACAATGGGATGAAATCTTTGCACAAGTAAGGGAGTGAGTGCCTTGAATGAAGTGTGGGAATATGAACCTCGGATTCTATATAATATATATAAAGGACAGGAGTTGAAGTAGAAGTGCAGAAAAAAGAATGATGGTAAAGGAGAAAGGGCACCTCAACATTTGGTGATTTCACGGGCTATATTTCACATGTTTTCTTCGTCATTCTGAGCCTCTTTCACGGGCCCATCTTCACCTATATCCCATGCTTATGCTTCCCCTCTCTGCCATTTCGATATTTTTGAATTACTATTTTATATCGTGAAGCCTGCATATGCCATGTTTCATGCTGACGATTGCGGTGATTCGGGTGAGTTTAAAATTTTGGGAGAGAATGACAACTAATAATCTCACAACAAAATTAATACTAAATTAGGATTTCTTCACAATATAAGTTCTCAAATTCAGCGCTCATTTTCTTATATTTTAACACAAAAAATCTTAATGTGATATTAAATTGCTAATATTTTAGGCTCGATTTTTTTTTCTCTTCTCCCTTGAAAACATATAAATAAATTTATCCCCTTTGGGTCCTGATTCTATAACTCTTTTTTTTTGGACTGATTGACTCTATAACCCTATTGCTTTATTTTTCCTTCGTTTTAAGTTTAACCATTTACCATTTTTTTAAAAAATATTTTTTCAATTTCTAATTAAGTTAACAGTTTTGAATTTTATTATTTATTTTTGGGTTAAGATGTAAATCTACCCATGAATGCTTTGGCTAGAGACACCAGACACCATAAACTTTTCTTGACCGCAAAAGCACATATAAAGTTTTAGGAGGTGTTTGGATGATATAAGAAGTGCCTCTAAAAAGCATTTTTTCACAAATCGAGATAAACTCATTCACATATTTATTTTGTATATTGTAAAATCACTTCTAACATGATTTGATTTCTATCCAAATATCCCCTTAAAATGATTAAAAAAATCACGACACAGTTAAGTCAACTAACATTAAACATTTAATAAAAACAATTTAAGAAAAAAAATAATACAAAAATACACATAAAATTTTTTAAATGATGCCAAAATACACAAAGTTTTCAATAGGCACGGCATTTTTACACCATTTTAAAAATTTTATGTGTATCTTTGCATAATTTTCTCAATCTACATGTTTGAAAACTGTCAATATTAGTTAACTTAATGGTTGTAACATTTTTTTTCCATTTTAAAAACTTCATACACACACACGCTTTTTCACTTTAAAAAATTGTGTAAGATAAATATGGTGAAATATTGCATGGGTACACTTGCACTTTTTTTTAATGAGCTAACATCTTAATAGTACTCCCCAGCCCCTGGTAGAAGCTATAAGCTTATTTGTCAAGCGAAGCTCCTTCCTCACGTTAAACTTCTAGCATTCTTTTGAATATGTTTTTTATTAAAAAAAAAAAAAAGAATATTCAAAGGCAATTATGTGACATTGTGACGTGACGTAACGTGGTTGGCCTACAGCGTAACAACGTGTAACGTCGTCGTGCTGGACGGTTGGCATCAATGTTCTAATCGGTTAGTTGGGCGTATGGTGTGGGCAACATACCACGATTGCAATTTGCATTCCAAGACTTTGTCATGTACTTACAATCTCCCACCCTTTCTTTTGCAAATACCCGCGCACATCATTCTTCATTTATATGATTATGCATCTATCTGAGCATGCAGATAACTTTAAAAATGTGATAATATGTAAAATTACTTTTTCTTTTTCACATTCATTTTAAAAATCTAGATCGTCATTCTTCCTATGCAAATAATAAATAAGGAATCGACTATATGCATTGTATTTCTGACTAGAGTGCATAAAAATAAAGTAAAATATGCACAACTGAATAGATTTGCTGATGATTTTTCAATGAATTTGTCGGACCTAATAATTCCAAGCACTGTTTTAATTTTTTTTTTAAGGATAAGGTTTGGTTTAGAGTTCGAGTTCTTCCGTTAAAATAAAAGAAGACAAAAGAAATCACTAGAAAAAGATTAAAAAAAGAAATACTGTGTCGGCGTGTCTGTTTTTTCACTAATTTGTCCAAATAATGCCAACGATTACCAATGCCAATATGACAAAAATACAAAGTTCCTATTCCTCACTGTCCTCTCATAACGAAAAGGGACAAATATATGAAGTCCCACTAATCAAAACCGGACGAAGCCTTGAGGATGGCAAAATGTTAAAAAAAGTGACCGTTTGGGGCTTCTTCTGCCAACCCCGCATCAATTAGGAATTGGCCATCCAGATCGAATCAGTCCTGAACCTTTATTCGATTTTTTTAATACCGGCACAAGAATACATGGAATTGAGCAGCATTACAAAAAAACATCGACGAGATCTCTCTCTGAAAAGTGAAAACCACTTAGATTTTCCAACAATGATCGTTACAGAAACGAGAGTCAACTCTGGATATGGGCAAGCAAGAACGCGATTTAAACCCCGAAGTTGATATCCCGACAAATTGATAGAAAATAGCAGTCCCGAATAGTTAAAGGATCAACTCTTACAATTAATTAATTACACGCGAAGATTATTCATCATAAATGCAAATCTGAGAACACAAAAATGTCCAGGTTTCTTGAAGACCCAATCATAAGATCAGTGATCAGGCCGAAAAGCCAGACGAATTTACAGCAAGAGGAAGAAGAAAGGTCCGGAAAAATCTACCTGGTTGTGCGGACGAGGGAATTGAAGATGCGCGAGAGAGCGAATCTCACGCGAGGATAAGCTCTAATGGTGTAGGTGGTGGTCTCTCGCAAGAAGTCCTCGATGGTCCGAACGAAGAGATTGAAGTTTCGGATCGGGGGGACGTAGATGGTGAGAGGCACGGCGGAAAAGGCAACAGCGAACAGAAGTTGCAGCATTTCTGAACAGCGATGCGATCAACACGGAGATGAGGAGAGAAACGTCGCGAAAAGTTAGCGCAAAATGTGTGGACTACTTGGGCGGCGGCCGATTCCCAAATCGGAATCTCCGAACAAGTCTATTTATTTTCCCGTGAGAAGAACAAGAGCCTGAAAGAGAGAATGGCAATATTTGGCCGAAGAATCTGAGTAGGGTTGACTTGAATGGTAGATTAGGGAGATTGTTAGATATCTATATAACATAAGGAGGTGTTTGGCAACAAGTAAAAATATTCTTAAAAGATATTTCTTTTCCGTAAAATGAAACAAAATTTTTTCTATATTTAGAAAGTGTTTGAATGAAAATAAAATCATAGTTTTAAAAGTACTTTTATGATAATAAAAGTGTCTTTTTCACATATTTATTTTGTATATTATAAAAATATTTTTAAAATTATAGTATGATTTCTATCCAAACAATCCTTAAATACAAAATTCAGAATAAATAATTATATTATAGTAAGCGACAAATAATTTTTAATACTATTTCTGAACATGAAGGGAGTTCTGGTAAAACCTGCCAGGGAAAAAAGTGCATTAGATGATTTAGATTTTTTTTTTGGTTTTAAAAAATAAGATGTAAAATAAAGTTTTTGACAAGAGGGTGAATGATGCTGGGTACAAGTACAAGGATGAGATTGTGCCAAGTAGAGATAATGGGGTCCTGCGAGTAATGAATAGGAGGCAGGCGGGTGGGTGTGAAGAGAAGAGCTGAAAAAAGATTTGTTGGATTTGGTGCAATGCAATAATTAAATTAAAATTCAATTTTTTTTTTGGACCAGAAAATTAAAATTCAATTGAGAAACGTAGAATGCAAAGTGAAAAAGAATAGTTGTGGGGAAGGCTCATCAATTAAATGAGCTTTTAAGTCCCAGGGATACGCATGAAAATGAAACAGCAAGGTTTAGTGGGTTTTTCCCCCATTATTTCGCCCTGGTGCAAACTTCTGGGAGTTGGGAGACGCTTTGATCCAATACCAAGGCCTGATCACCAGGCTTATGCATTCTTTACATATAAATTATTTTTTGCATAAATTCCTAATAGTATAATTCGAGGTAAGGAATTCAATTGAGCAGATGACTTTATTTAAAATTAATTTAAGAAATATAATAGTTGTGAAAAGTAAAATGAAATTTCACTATCAGTCAAAATCAGTTTCTCATGACTTCAAATAAATCAAGTGAATTTGTGATGTATGATGTAAGCATCTGAGATGAAATGAGTTCTGCCTAAAAATTACAATTTTTTTTAAAAAAATTACTGCTAAGGTCAACCATAATCAATTTGGCATAAACTAGTATATTTTACTAACTTGCTTTTTTAATTAGAAAAACATGCACAATTTATCAGAAATTATAAACAGATTGAACGCAGACCTTTCTACTTATAGAAGACTTTTCACAAACTAGATTGGCCATTAGGCTTTCACTCGTGTTTTCATGTTTCGGGCAAAAACCATGATTCGTTTTTTCCCCCCAACCAAAAGCCACAATTCTAAAATCTAGTTAATACCCTTGTATGCTCTACCAGTTCATCAAAATACTGATGTAGCGATAACTCTTTAAACATAAGATTTATTAATTATTTTAAAAAAAAATTGTGCAAGATCAACCTGATCATATCATATATGTGCATATATACATACAAGTTTTTTTTTTTTAATTAATTGTGTAAAACCAACGTGGTAATATCATATGCATGTATATATAAGTTTCAGTTATACATATAAGTTTTTTTTTTAATTAATTGTTAATCACGTTGACATTCGTCCTAAATATAAGTTGTTTTACT